CCACTCTTGCTTGTAGGGATTCCTTTGCCTCCCTCCCCCTTGCCCTCTATCTGACAGCCCTTCATACAAGTGATGGGAGCCTAGAACACCTGCATGGTGCCACGGGCAGAGGGGTTTTACATCCATCCCTCTGGGCTCATCAGTAACAGCGTTACTGCTACAAGTACAGAGCAACTAAAGCTGGTTGGAAAAAAATATATTCCTGCAGAAATTGGATGAAAATGGAAAAAATAATCATTTTCTTATAAATTTAAGTCTCCAATGACTGACTTGTATGTGGAGCAAGTGAGAACAGCCCCAGTGGTTTGGGACACCGGCTTGCTGGGGACAAGTGGGTCAAGGGTCTCACTAGGTTTAATAGGCAAAGCCATTGAAAATTTATTTATTTTTTGGCAAAAATTCAAAAAGTGGAATACTTTGGTCAACCCCCCAAAATTTCCATTTGGATATGTTGCCAAAATGCCGTCTGGGAATCCTGGTGTGTCATGTACTCATTCCCATGACGGACTAGGGTTCCCCCTGAGGAGAGACAGGGGTGCATCCCGGGCGATGGAGTCCAGCTTGGGAGCCTGGTCCACAGAAGAGAGGGGGGGACATGAGGCAATTGAACTACAACTCCCATAAGGCACTATGGCAGCAAATCCAAACAGAAACGTTTTGGTTTTCAGTGGAAATATTTCAGTTTTCGGGTGCTCAGTTTTTGACAGAAAATTGAAGTTTTCCATGGAAAGCAAACACTCTTTGTGAAAAACTTCTGTCAAAAACCAGTTCTGATGGGAAATTTTCAGCCAGCCCTAGCAGGGATGCAGTCCGTATTGACCAGGGACTGCTCCAATATTTATAGCTATTTTAACACAACATCCATCATTTTCTGACTCTGTCTCTGCGGCATGCTCCTCTAGTTACAACTTCACTTGGGATTTTTATCCCTAAATGTCCTTGGCACCAACCTTGCCCATGGCAGTATGCTGCAAAGGGGAATCCCGTTAAGGCCTTCCCAGCCAGAAGGATGCTAGTGAAGTCTTCCAGTCTCTGTGAGGGACCTGGAGTAGAAGATGAAGACAAGCTGGAGAGAGAACTTCCCGGGTTTTATAGGCTCATAATTCACCTACTAGATGTCACTCGCAGTTCAAATGAAAGACATCTCCAATAACAAACTGGTACATCTGCGGCAAGAGAGAGCAGCTCCGGGGGGCTGGGACAGCTGCTTGCTGGGGGGCGGATGGGTTGCACGAGGGCTTGCTGGGTTAACAAACGCCAGCTGCCCCAGGCGAGTTCAGAGAGACCAGGGCAGAAAGTGAAGACCGCAAAGGGAAGTGAGAGCCACGACTGGACTAGGGGCCTACTTCTCAGGTGGCACAAAGCAGCTGGCAACCCTGAGCTCAGACCCTCCCAGGATTCCCCCTGGGCAAGGGAGAGCTCCAGGGAGCTAACCCATCCCTTTCCCAGCCCCCAGCAGAGGGGGAACTTCTGGGGAGAAGGCATGGCCGGAGCAGCCTTACTCTTGGCTGTCAGAACAGCCCCTTGGGTCTGGGGGCTGCTCTACCTTGTGCCAGAGGGCTAGATCCAAACTGCAAAATCACCTGGATCGCCCTTCCCAGATCTGTGCGGAGTCCCAGAGAGTCTGGGACCAAGCACAGGAAGAGAGACTCTTCTCCCCAGGAAACACTGGGGACCTGCCATGCCAAGAGATGGGGAGACAGAAGCAGCCACACGAGGCCAGCGCTCAGGACAGAGAAGCTCCACCCTAGAGAGCTATAATATCGCCAACCCTCTGCATTCAGGTCATGAGTCAGCCCCCTCTTCACCACCACTCCAATCATGGGCTTGGGCTTAAAAATCATGAGATTAGAAAAGCCACGATAGTGTGGGTTTGTTTATTTATTTATTTGCCCTCCAGTT